TCCTGGTTTACAGAGTACTATAGTAGATGAAAGTTTCCAGTCCTCTGGGTAGTAGTCAAGCTTGAATGTTGCATGGAATATTGGTCCCATGTACGGAATAAGCAGGTCTTCACATTTCTTGTATATGCAGTTGGGTACTCTGTTTGGGCCAGGAGCTTTGAACGGTGAGAGTTTGGCTATTGCTTGGGAGATTTGGGTGTCAGTTATGGGTGTGAACTCACAAATGGGTGAGATATAATTGAAATTGGGCTTAACATATTCATCTTCTGGGGGAGGTCAGAAGAAGGTCTTGTAGAGTAGCTTACTCTTTCTTTCATTGTTCTGCATTACATTGTTGCCTCCCAGATCTTGTGGGTCTTGCAAGGTCTTGATTCTCATGTGAACTTGGTCTGTAGGGTCACTGGCTGTGTATCTGTGGAAGTCCCAAATATTAGTAGGTGTTAGTGCTTCAAGCCATTCTTCCCAGTGTTCCTTCTTCACCTTCTTGATGTTTTTGGAGAATCAGTTGTGGGCAATGTGGAACTCTTTGTGGATAGGGTCTTGTCTCCTGGCCAGTCAGTCTCTAGCTTTCCATCCAAGCTTGTGTACTTGCTTTCATTCAACATCTAGGTCTGACGACCACCATTGTTTGATGTATGGTGATTGCTTGGGTAAGGTGTATGAAGGTTTGCTAGAATTGATCTATGGTTTGGATGTCAGTGGGTGGTGAAGATGTGTCTAGGTAAGTAGATAGGGCTTCTCTAAAGTCTTTCCAGTTGATGTTTCTGAAGTTTGATTGTGGTGACAGGTTGATGTGTTCTGGTTGTAGGTCTATGGTGCTAATAATTGGGAGGTGGTCAGTGATAATAGGACAGAGTTGATATTCTACAGTGCATTGGGTGAAAGTATATTCAATTTTGACAGAACAGAATACATTATCTGGGTGGGTGTGATTTTTTGTGTTTGATGCCTCGAGCGTTGCAATGCCTTGTGGGAGTGCTTGAGTGAGATTATATTCAGCTAATAGATTGATTAGTACTTCCGCAGCATCTAGGTTTGCCATGGTAAAGAGGTGGCTGTTGCTCGTCATCTCCCACATTGGGTGATGATGGTTGTAGTCTCCTAACCAGATCATGTGCATGCTCGTTTCTCTGGTCTTGCCTCGAGCAGGGTTTGTTCAATTACGAGCTGCTGTCTCTTCTGTTACTAAGTGTCACTCCATAAATTGGAGGGTGTGTGTGTAGTCACAAGCATTGTAGATATTGTAGATGCATACCTTGCTGAAGTCTCTGTGGAGCTCAATCACTGTAATGTTGGGTGAGTTGAGTGGGATTATATGCTAGTTATTTTTGGATAGTTTCTTGTTGATGAGGAGGATGGATTGAGATTGTTCCAGGTTGGTGTGGTGGTTAGAGGGGTATATTACGTCCCAGAATTGTCTGAGGTTGGATGTGTTAGCTAGGCCTACTGGGTTGAGGAATGGTTCCTGTATGCATGCTAGATCATAGGTGTTTGGGTTGAGGTTCCAGAGCATGTGTTCCCAGGTGCTGGATGATTTTCTTAAGTTTTGCTGCCATATTTTGAAGTCTGTTCTGGGGAGTTGTTGGTCATCGTGGTTGTGCTGCATTAGTCAAAGCCTGAGGTAGGGGTGCTTTTGATTGGGTGGTTTGGGGGTGGGGATGGGGACCAGGGAGGCGAGGATTGAGGGGGGGAGAGAGAGATGGGGAGGGAGGTTGAGGTTGAGGTTGATGTGGCAGGATGGTCAGAGTTGCCTGTATGGTCGTGTTTCCATTGTTCTGAGGGTGGAAGGATAGCCAGTTAGTCATTAGGTGTGCTTGTGGGTTAGCATTGATCAGAATGTGGTTGGGGTTATCATGGGGTTGGTGATGATAGCCATGACCTTGTGTTCCTTGCTGATGGTTGGGTTGTTGCATGGTCCTCTGTTGCTGGGGAAGGTGTGTCTGGAGTTGTCCATAGTTGCCTTGGTTGTCAAGGTCTGTTGTTGGCTGGCTCCATGCTGTCCAGGTCAGGGATTCATTCCACTGTTCAATGTTGCCATCTAGTGTTTCTCACGTAAGGGGGTTGTCCATTGGGAAGTAGCAGTATTTGGCATCTTCTGATCATTTCTTGGATTGTTCCCATTTGTTGATGAAGGTGGGGCATTCCCTGCTCCAGGAAGCATGTCCCTGGCAGTCACAGTTAGTACATTGATAGAAGTTCAGGTCATCTACTTTGCATGTTGCTGTTTGGTGTTCAGCTCCACATGTGCCACACTGTTAAGAACCGGTGTGAAGGAGTAATAGTGACTAGGCTGGTTAGAAACTAGCGCTACTTATCCAAATAGGCACAAGTGTAGTATTCAACCCAAGAGGACTGCTAATGAAGCAACTCCCTACTAATATGCAAGGGGAGTGTTAGCACGAAGGACTAATAACCTATAGTGACCTAAGACCAAAAACCCAATGAGTAGCGCTATAGCGATCAGTGACTAGCGACAAGCGAGTTCCAACAAGAGAAATGTGCATATAAGTGAGTGGTGCTATGCAAGTTGTTTTATGCAATAGCACTATTCAACATCCGACTAGCAACAGCAAGAAGAAATCAAAGGGAGCGAAAGTGAGGAGTAAGGTAAGACAGTGCAAGTGGAATGCCCAATAGCGACTAGATTATAGCTCGACTACCGATAGTGATCCTGATGTTGCGAAGGTCAAACTTCAGAGGGAACTTTTTAGTGATGCGCACTTAAAGCAAGTCAAGCGACACGCGATCAAAGAGATTGGCAAGAGCAGAATTGATTGCACTAAAACTAGGATATAGCAACTAAAGTGACCTGACACCTGCAAAGGTCCAGGGAAGGGAAGTACTGTACTGTATGTAGGACAGGTCATGTTATCATACTGCATAGGGGTTCAGGATTGTGTAGGTGAGTATAGTAGTGACACTGGCAAGGACACATGTAATAAGACCTGCAACTGATGAGTAGTGACATTTAAGGAAAAATAATGCACCAGCGGAGGTAGGTGGACATAGGCAGGACATGGGAGGATGGAATACCTAGGCATCGGACCGGGTAGCACACTATGGGAGAAAAGTGGTTCCAAAGTGGATAGCTTGGGAGCTGAATAGTGCTGGTGACTAGCGCCTTACTCTTTTCCTCTGGACAAGGCAAAATATGCCTATGACACTCATATGCACCTAGCGCTGGTATGATTGTCACACCGGTTTGCTCAAGGGAGAGAGAGACTGACTCAGAGGGGCTTGGCCTCAGCTCATATGCTGTGCCCCTTACCCAAGTATGTGCCCTTCATTTTAGAGGAAGTCCAATGATGGTCCATTGAAGTCCAAAGGACTTCCAGAGGCTGGCTACTCTGGTGGAGAGTGCTAGAGGACTTCTGGAGGAGCACAGGAAATGTCCAGAGGAGCACAGGAGAGTTCCCACTGCAAGGTAATACTTCTACAGGAAACAGGATGGAAGGATAGGAGGTCCAGAGGTCTGGAAGTATGGAGGACAGGATGTCCGAGGGTTAGGAGGATGGGATGTCCAAAGGACAGGACACCTGGAGGTGCACAGGACAGGATGTCCAGAAGGAATAGGGACTACATCAGACAAAGTCCAATGTAGAAGCAAACAGAGGTAGACTACCCTTAGGTAGAGTTGGAGAGACAGGAAGTGGACCAAAGTCTGGAGAGAGGGTAAGTGCTGGAAAGGCAAGACTCCAGCCTAGGGAAGCAATCTCTAGACTTGGGACAGAGACATAGGGGACAAATTCGAAGGTCTGGAATTCTGGCCTAGGGAATCCATCCCTAGGCCTTATGGAAAAGGACAAACTCAGATGGACTGAAGTCCAGAAGAAGATTGGGCAAGTAGAAGAGGATCTAAGATGATATTCTGACTGAGGACTCTACAGGAGTTGTACAGGGGTTATATACTAGAGGATATCTGAGAGGATCAGTAAGCAATGGAGTAAGGCTATGTATGAGCATGTGGAAACACATTGGTAAGTAAGACAGAACATAAGTAAATGAACTTGGAGATGAAACTAGTACAAGGATCAATCAGCAAGACGGAAACAGAGATAACTGAGAACCAGAAAGGCGGAGATGCCTAAGTGGGGATAGGTGCAGGATCTCAGATGGAGGGTGGGAATAGGTCCAGAGATCTGGGGATCTGGAAGGCAGGGCAGAAACAGGACTGAGATATGTGAGGTGGTGGATGTAGTCTGGAATCTGAGAGGAGGTGAAGTCCAGATGTCTTGCTGGATGGAATGTGCATAGGGTGGACAGGATACGGGTGTACAGATCAGGCTAGTGGTAAAGATCTGGAGGTCCGGAGCTCAGGGATAATTCCATAGCAGAGCTAATCCTGCTTAGATATGGAGCACACAGTGGAAGGGGATCCAGGAATGAGTTGGAGGTGGGGTCCGGAAATAGGCCCAGAAGGTGTGGGAATATTATGGGATCTAGGTCCAGCATATGGGATATGACAGAAAGACAGAGATGTCTAAATGGGGACAGGTGCAGGATGTTGGACAGAAGGTGGGAATAGGTCTGGAGTTAATATCCAGAGGTCTGGAGATCTGGGGATCTGGAAGACAAGGTGGATACAGGACCGGAATATGAGGTGGATATAGTCTGGAATCTGAGATGAGGTGAAGTCCAGATGTCTTGCTTGCTGGATGGAGTGTGCATAGGGTGGATGGGACAGGGGGGTATGGATCAGGCTAGCAGTGGAGATCTGATGGTCTGGAGCTCAGGGGTAAATCCAGAGCAGGGTCAATCCTGCTAAGGTGTGGAGCACACAGTGGAAGGGGATCTGGGAATGAGTTGGAAATGAAGTGGGGTCTGGATGTAGGCTCAGAAGGTGTGGGAATATGATGGAATGTGGATCCAGATATGACAAGGCTGAAGAGAATTGCAGACAGAGAGCTGTGAAATAGCTGGTGGTGGAAGATACGAAATACATCGTCTTTAGCATGCTTCTTGTCAGCTGTAACATAGCTCAGATGAGGCATAATAAAATTTCAAATATGAACATACATACTTTTAGGAATGGCAAGGAAACCAATGATTCTGAGGGCATTGCAGTGTGCATGCCATACATTGTTGCATATGTTACCAATCAAGGCATAGAGGGGGTAGTATTCATTATTACCAGTGCCCACAGAGACAGTGGTCTTGTCACTACCAAGAATAATTGGGACTAAAGAAGATCCACGTGTTTCTGGAACTTCTGATATGGTGTCCTTGACAGAATATGAGTGATATCCCAAGCAATACTAAAAAATATGGAAGATGTACTGCCTGTTGCCATGTCCAGTCTCTGGACATGAAATCCTTCCATCAGTGTGTGTCGTCTGATGTATCATATTCATGAAACAGCACATAGTCAATCTCATCCTTGTAAGCAGGGTTGGCAAGTATGTTGTGTGCCATTGCACAGGGGTCCCTGAACTAGACCTCAAATTCATCATCCATCCATGGCAGTGTGGATAACACAACTTGGCTAGATAGTTGTTAGAATACCTAGCCAATATATTGTTGGAATTGAGCAAGTGCGCCCACAGCCATGGTGTTTCATTATTCACATCCTCTGATTGGTTCAACCCAACGACTCGTATGTTTCATTGTTCAGTCTTGTTATTTATCTTACTCTTGTACCTACTGAATCTTTTGTATGCTATGGCCAGCGCTCTTATCCCATTGTTCCTAGTTTCACTCACTCACAAGATCACTCGAACTATTTAGCTGTTGCTGTCTTGACTCATTACCTTAGATGTTTGCCTTCGCATGCATGATCTGAGGTAAGATACTTAGTTCTTTACTTATGATTCACCTTTACTTATATTGTGCAGAGAGTCTGTCCATTATAGACCCATGTGAATTGTACTAATCCTTCATATATGTCTACTAGTCCTGCCTAGCTGCTACACTTGCAAGCAAGAATGTTTGACCCAAGGGATTTGCTGTCTAGTCAAGTTCAATAATCAGTACTATGCAAAGGGTCAAAAGTCCGAAGGTCAGAGATCAAGTCTGAAGGCATGGGATGAAGTCTGATGTGTGGGAAATCAGGTCCGCAGGTGCAGAGATGTGGAGATGGCAGGAGAGTAAGGGAAAGGGAGGGAATGTGTCAGGACTAGCTTGGAGATGTCAAGGAAGGTCAAGTGAATGAGTGACACTTGTGTTGGGTCAAGGAGAGTGGGTAAACAGTGATATTGCAAGGGTAACTCTAAAGATAGGTATGGGGTGACCAGTATCAGGGATTTCTCCCTCCTACTAAGTGGTGATTGTAATTCTGGTTGCCCAACCCTATATAACTAGCTACATGAAAGTCTGGAGTCCATAGGTGAAAGTAGTAGCAAAAACACGGGTCCGATGATATGTAGGTAAAAGGCCATGTGTTACAACCATGTACGCCCCTATTCATTTCTCCCTTATTACTGTGTATTACATCATGAGCCGCATGTTGCCACCACTAGACTTATCTCTGACTCATGCTTTGTATTACATCACAACTGCCATTGCTGTTGCTAGATGACCTATTCTTGCTATCACTTACATGTCTCTTATCCCAACTCTGTCTATTCTCATGCCTGCCCTAAAGCACAGTAGTCCACTATAAATAGGTCTCCTGTACGCTTTAGTTCTTTACTTTAATCTTACTAGGTTTTACCCTGAATATCCTTTGCTTGAGACCTCCAATCTCTTGTCGTCTGAATCGTATCTTAAGTTAAAGGCACTCCCTTTAACTTAGTGCACACCGAACACTTGACTTATTGTCTTGCATAGAATCTCAACAGAGGTCCTTGACTCTTATCGAGTCATCTGTTGTTAGAACTACCCTAGTTCATAACAAAAGATTAAAGTCCCTATCAAACCTCTCCATCCAGGGAGGCCCCAGTAGCTCCAAGCAAGACGACCCCTTGGGTTAGAAAGTATTGGTGGGAGAGTGATCCAAACGACATCCCCACAGAGCCAGAAGAAGAATATCATGAGGCTGAAGGTCCAGATATCACAGAGAACAGAGAGAGACGAATTCCATCCCCTGTAACCACAGAACCCGACCATCATTCAACTACATCAGTAGACAAATTCCCAGAAGAACAGCCACCCCGAAATCTTTCTGCACATCCCAGTATCAGAATGTCCAGCTCTTTGTCCAAACTTAAAGCTGGAACACCAAAAGACTACAACAGAAGCCCTGACCATGCTTTAAGATGGTTGTTTTCAGTAAAAGCATCTTTCGCCATTAACTCTTCAGTTTACAACACCGATGAGAAGAAGGTCATTACCACACTTGCATATATGACTCAAGATAGCACTATGGGATGGGCGTTAACATTTTACACCAAAGTAGACAGCTCCACTTCGAAATCTTATGGAACCTTCACAAACTTCGAAACCAAGTTCAAGGAAGCGTTCACACCAGCAGACGCCATTGGCACTGCTATGAATAAACTCTGAACCCTGAAGCAGACAGGCGACCTCACTTCCTATATTGTGAGTTTCAGGACCCTTGCTGCACAAGCCAACGTAAAACAAGACGCCATTCTTATTACATTCTTCAACAATGGACTCAAGAAGGGAATCGGTAACACCATTTATCAAATGGAAACCGTCCCTACAGACTTCGACAAATATGTCCAAGCTGCAATCAGACTTGACAGTAACTGGCAATGTGGTGCAATATTCTGTAACAACAATCACACGACCACGAAGCCCACTGGTCAGCACTATGTCCCCAGACCTTCCATTGATCACCGCAACCCCAATGCTATGGAGGTCGACCACCTCACTGAGGAAGAGAAGACTGAACACTACCAGAATGGCAAGTGTTTCAACTGTCACCAGAGGGGCCACGTCTCCTGTAACTGCCCTAAGAAGAATGGCAAAACCCCCATGCGCTGCACTGAGCCAACTGAAGAAGATGAAGAAGTCCATCATATCAATGAGGAATTTTGATGTGGAAGACTGGATCGACGTCAGTATCTTCCAATGTACCTATTAGACTTGTTCGAGGTGTAGGAATCAGAAAGGAACTTCGCATTCCCATTTCCCTTATCTCCAAAACTCACCTAAAAACCATTGAAACGACTGCTGTCGTTGATTCCGGAGCCACCGGAACTTTTATCTCCAAGGATTTTGTTAAGCTTCACAAAATTCGAACACATAAACTCATGAAACCATTCTGAGTAACCACAGCAGATGGAAGTTATGCGAAAGGAGGCATGATCACCTGCTACTGCATCCTCATCATGAAAATTGATGAACAATTCATGCTTGGAAAGTTCAATATCATGAAACTTAGCCATCGCAACCAAATTTTGCTAGGAATCCCTTGGCTGCGTGCCATGGATCCAATTATTTGGTGGAAAGCCAAAACTCTAGAACTCTCTCAAACTGAGAAGAGTAATCTAATAGAGGAAGATGTTGACACTGAACAAAAGGAGAACAATCTTCCCCCTCTCTTTCAGAAAACCATCGAAATCCCAGTTGATAAAATGTGGAAGAACTCCCATTTGAAGAAAGAGGAGATGCCAGTTGTAGTGCTGCCAAAGGCACCTCCCATACGACCCATGCCAGAACCACTCCCTCGAGCAACAATCGAAGAAATCCCTGATGAAGAAGCACCTCCGGTTTTACCCAACCTTGACCCCATCCCTGATGACAATGACAACTCTTTTGATACCAAAGACAATGTATGGACTTCAGACTATGCACCACCTGTACATGAACTTGCCACGTACCATCTTGACAATGATGAATTTTTGGTAGAATACCCCACTGATGTTACTGAGCTCTGGGTCATCACCAACATTTCCATGGATACCCTGTTAACCAAAGATGGTACCAGTGCCACAGAACAGAAACCCACAGTCACACCCTTGTCATGGCCCGCCACATATGTCAAAACCAGTAATAAAGCTCAGCAGTTTGCTCTGGCAGCTGGGCTTGAACAAAAGAAGAAATCATTTGAAGAACTCATCCCTTCTTACCTCCACAACTTCACCAATATCTTTGCTAAAGACAGACTAAATCAATTACCTCCAGAACATCCCAGAATTGACCATCACATTGATACTAAACCTGGTTTCATCCCTAAAATGTCCAAGGTCTATCCATTGTCAGAAGCAGAATGAACCACTGTCAAAGCATTCATTGATGAAAACCTACAGAAAGGATTCATCTCCAAGTTGAAGTCACTGCAAGCTAGTGGATTCTTCTTTGTTGGAAAGAAAAGCAGTGATCTATGTCCTTGTCAAGACTATTGGTATATCAATGATTGGACGGTGAAGAATGCCTATCCTCTCCCACTCCCATTATCCCTGGTCACTCGACTACACGGTGCTAAATATTTCACAAAGATGGATGTCCGTTCTGGATATAATAACATCCAAATTCATCCTGATGATCATTGGAAAGTGGCATTTACCACTGAGTATGGCCTCTTCGAACCTAACATCATGTTTTTCGGTCTCTGCAACTCACCCGCTACCTTCCAGGCATACATGAATCGGACCTTCCAACAAGAAATAAATGAAGGATGGTTGGTCATTTACATGGACGACATTCTTATCTTTTCAAACAACCTCCCTTCCCACCATGCTTGAACTCATCATGTCCTAGAACGAATCTGTGCTGAACAACTATTCCTGAAACCAGAAAAATGCACCTTTGATGCCAAAGAAGTCAAATACCTAGGTATGATCATCCATCCCAGATGTGTTGCAATGGATGTAGCGAAAACCGATGGTATTCATGACTGGCCTACTCCTACCACAGTAAAGGAAGTTCAGTCATTCCTCGGGTTCTGCAATTTCTATTGCAATTTCATTCCTCATTACTCCAACATTGTGAGGCCCTTAATTGACCTCACCAAGAAAGACATGGTATTCCATTGGTCTGACCCATGTGCCTCTGCATTTACCATGCTTAAGGAATACTTCCGGAAACAGCCTGTGTTACAGAACCCTGATCCTAATAGGCAGTTCGCTGTCGCTACTAACGCCTCACTCATTGCTACCAGAGCAGTTTTGCTACAGACTGATGAAAATGGAATCTACCATCCATGTGGATACCTCTCCCAAACCTTGAACCCAGCTAAAAGGAATTATCAGATCTTCGATCGTGAACTTCTCACTGTTATTTGTGCCCTCATCAAATGGCATCATTATCTCGAAGGAAATTCTCATCCAGTTCTTGTCTTTATGGATCATAAGAATTTGCTCTACTTCCATACTGCACAGAAATTGACTTGTCGCCAAGCACATTGGCAACTCCTTCTCTCCTGTTATGACATAGAACTCCATCATGTTGCTGGAACTAAACTTGCCACCCCCGATGCACTCTCCAGATGTCCTGACCATGGGACCGGACAAGGTGACAATGATGACGTCACTCTCCTCCCAGACTCTATGTTTGTATGACTTCTTGATGTGGAACTTATGACCACA